ACCTGCAGGCTGAGCCCAGAGAGGGTGCAGCTTCGGTCACACAGCCCAGGGTGTGGAGGGGACAGCTCTGCTGGGGAAGGGGTGGGGCCAGGGCGCACCAGGACCAGTTCGGCTGTGGGCTGTGTCCCCACAGCTCTCAGTGGCCCCTCAGTTTCTGCCCCGGTCCCTCCGCGTCGCGGATCTGGCTGCCAACCAAGTGATGGAGATCTTCCCCCTCACCTTTGGGGAGAAGCCGGCACTCAGGTAGGCCCTGGCCCAGCCCAGGCCCCCAGGCCTCAGATACGTCTGGGGCACGCCTGGTTCTAGGAGCAATGAGGGAGTTAAGACCTTGCCCTTGGCCGGGCGCAGTGGCTCACTCCTGTAATCCCAGCACTTTGGGAGGCCAAGATGGGAGGATCATCTGGGATCAGGGGTTCGAGACCAGCCTGGCCAAGTCTCTACATAAAATACAAAAATTAGCTGGGTGTGGTGGCACATGCCTGTAATCCCAGCCACTCAGGAGGCTGAGGTAGGACACTTGCTTGAACCTAGGAGGTGGAGGGTGCAGTGAGAGGAGATCGTGCCGCTGCACTCAAGCCTGGGTGACAGAGTGAGACTCTGTCTCAAAATTTAAAAAAAAAAAAAAAAAAAATGCCTTGCCCTGGAGGGCTTAACTAGGGGCAGATCCTTTGCTTGGGGAGTGAGAGGAGGGCACAGTTATACCCTGGGAGGAGAGTGAGTGGGGAGACCCTGTATGCTGTGTCAGAACTCCAGACTGAAGTGGAGACAGTATGTGCAGGGACACACACACACACTCTTACACAGACTCACATACACACCTGCACACACAACCACACGAACACATGCTTATGTACATACATGCAATCACGTGCACACACAAGCACACAGACTGACATACACACCTGCACACACTTCCAATCACATGCATACAGGCACACACTCATGCATGCACATGCAATAACATCCTCACACAAGCACACACACAGACTCACATACACACCTGCACACACTTCCAATCACATGCACACAGGCACACACTCATGCACATATGTACACACATGCACCCACGCACTCTTGCACATGCATACATACACACAGTTGCACACTCACATACACACACACATACACACTTATGTACAGGCACATAGCACACACTTGCGTATACATACACACATGCACACCCACACACTCTTACAATCACACGTGCACACACACTCCACATATGCACACACTCGTTACACTTACACATGCACACTGCTCACACACATGCACACACATCTATTCATACAACATACACACACCTGCACACCTACACACAGTCACATGCACACATGCACAATTACTCTCACACAGACGCTACACATGCACACACACACACACTCTCTGAAGGCGACCCTGAGCAGAGTATGGTGTGGGAGTAGGGTGGTGGGAGGCGAGGGGCAGGCTGGTGGCCGGAGCCTGGCTCTCCTCAGGTCCGTGTACCTCCACAACAACCAGCTGAGCAACGCTGGCCTGCCCCCTGACGCCTTCCGCGGCTCCGAGGCCGTCACCACCCTCAGCCTCTCGAACAACCGGTTCAGTTACCTGCCGCCCAGCCTGCCACCCTCACTTGAGCGGCTCCACCTGCAGGTAGCCCTGCTGTAGGTCCCACCCTGGGGCCAGACTCCCTTCATCTCTTTCCAGGGGGACCCCTCCAGTTCCTAGCTTTCCATCCTTCCCAATTGCCCCTCAGAATTCCAGTGGTCGGAGTTGTCTTTCTTTGAATCACTTTATTGGAAATCACTTTGAGCTCAAGGCAAGCTCCCCGTCACTCCCTTACTCAAGAGCCTTCTGTGGCTTCCCGCTGCCCTCATCCCAGACTCAGGTCTCATTCTGTTCTCCCTTCTCCAGAACAATCTCATCTCCAAGGTGCCCCGAGGAGCCCTGAGCCGCCAGACTCAACTCCGCGAGCTCTACCTCCAGCACAACCAGCTGACCGACAGCGGCCTGGATGCCACCACCTTCAGGTACAGGATGATAGGGGCAGAAGGGGCTGAGAATTTATAGTCGGGGGTCCCAACCTTCAGTCCCCCTTCCCTGGATGGCTCCTAAGCCACGGCCTCATTTACTGAGTGTCTGCTGCTCACTGGGCTCGGCAGAGCACTGGGTGGGTGTCCCTGTTCCCCACAGCCCTGCACTGACATCGTAAGTCTCACATGCATTTCCATCTCGCCTCTACCCTGGTCACCCCCGTAGCTAACTCTCAGGCTGGAATCTGCCCTGAGCACCCCAAGTTTACCTCCCACCCAGCTCTCTCAACGCATCACTCCCAAGTTGAAATCTCCAGCTTAAATCTGTCTCAGGACCACTCCCCAACCTCCCCGCCAAAATCTGTCAGGCACCCCACTCCAAGTGCCCCACCTGACACCGACCCTCTCTCCTACCAGCAAGCTGCATAGCCTTGAATACCTGGATCTCTCCCATAACCAGCTGACCACCGTGCCCGCCGGCCTGCCCCGGACCCTGGCTATCCTGCACCTGGGCCGCAACCGCATCCGACAGGTGGAGGCAGCTCGGCTGCACGGGGCGCGTGGTCTGCGCTATTTGTTGCTGCAGCACAACCAGCTGGGGAGCTCAGGGCTGCCCGCCGGGGCTCTGCGGCCGCTGCGGGGCCTGCACACGCTGCACCTCTATGGCAATGGGCTGGACCGCGTGCCTCTGGCCCTGCCCCGCCGCCTGCGTGCCCTGGTGCTGCCCCACAACCACGTGGCCACGCTGGGTGCCCGCGACCTGGCCGCCACACCGGGCCTGATGGAGCTTAACCTGGCCTATAACCGCCTGACCAGCGCCCGCGTGCACCACCGGGCCTTCCGCCGGCTGCGCACTCTGCGCAGCCTGGACCTGGCGGGGAATCAGCTAACCCGGCTGCCCATGGGCCTGCCCACTGGCCTGCACACCCTGCGGCTGCAACGCAACCAGCTGCGGATGCTCGAGCCCGAACCTCTGACAGGCCTGGACCAACTGAAGGAGCTCAGCCTGGCGCACAACCGGCTCCGGGTCGGTGACATCGGGCCAGGCACCTGGCATGAGCTCCAAGCCCTCCAGGTCAGGCACAGGCTGGTTAGCCACACTATCCCCAGGGCCTCTCCATCCCCCTGCCTGCACTGCCACATCCCAAACATTCTAGTTAGCTGGTCAAGCAATCAGAACAAGAAAATGGTAAGAGTGGGTTAGAAGGTGATGAGGAGGCTGGGTGAGGTGGCTCATGCCTGTAATCCCAGTGCTTTGGGAAGCCAAGGCAGGAGAATCGCTTTAGGCTATGGGTTTGAGACCAGCCTGGCAACATAGCAAGACCCTATCTCTACCAAAAAAACCTAGCCAAGCGTGGTGTTGCATGCCTGTAGTCCCAGCTATTCAGGAGACTGAGGCGGGAGGATCGCTTGAGCCCAGAAGTTTAAGGCAGCAGTGAGCCATGATCGGGCCACTGCCCTTCAGACTGGGCAACACAGCAAGACCCTGTCTCTTGAAAAAAAAAAGTGATGAGAGAGGTATGGTGCGATTGACTGAATCATTTAATCAAGTGGGGACCCGTCTGTCTGTGCCTTCCCGGGAAGGGCCTTAGTTTACCACTGCAGAGGGGAGGAATTTGGCAGTCATGTGGGGTGGGGCCAGAAGGGACAGGCTGGTATGAAGGAGGCAGGAGACTTTCAAGGAGAGAGGTTGGGGGCTGGCTGAGCTGAGTGGCCCAGGCCTGCGGCTGCCACGACACCATCTATAACCCCGTGCCCAGACGCTGGACCTCAGCCACAACGAGCTGTCCTTTGTGCCCCCGGACCTGCCTGAGGCCCTGGAGGAGCTGCACCTTGAGGGCAATCGCATCGGCCACGTGGGCCCCGAGGCCTTCCTCAGCACGCCCCGCCTGCGTGCCCTCTTCCTCAGGTGCCCCGAGGGTGGCTGGAGGGGTGGAGGTGGGCAGGGGAGGGCCTGGGAGGGTCACGACCGCCTCTCTGTGCAGGGCCAACAGGCTTCACATGACGAGCATCGCGGCCGAGGCCTTCCTGGGGCTCCCAAACCTGCGCGTGGTGGACACAGCAGGGAATCCGGAGCAGGTCCTGATCCAGCTGCCTCCCACCACCCCACGTGGGCCACGGGCAGGGGGCCCCTGATCCTGGAGAGGTCCAGCAGAGCAGCCCAGACTCCTGGGGCTCCACTGGGCCGTGGACTGAAGAGACAACACCCACCGTGGGCCCTCTGTCTGGCTCTCCTGGGCCTCCAGGGCTGGGCCTGCTCTGCCTGGCACTGGCCAAGGCACCGAGGCACGCAGCTGGCATACTCCAGGCTCACAGACCACGCTGGCCTGGCAGGACACGCCCTACCCCAAACTCCCAACACGGATGGAGGCAGCAACAATAAAGCCAAACCCTTCCAGCGCTCAGCACGGACCAGGCACCCTTTGGGGGCTCTGTCCACAGACTCCTCTCCACGACCAGGCCAGCTGGGGACACTGAGGCTCTGCGATGCTAAGTGGGTCAGGACTGAATTTTGAGGTCCTAAGGCACACACTGGGGTCACCAGAGAGTACCCTGTGCGACCCAGCCACGTGTGATTGCAGGGACGCCCAAGACCACCCACTGAAAAAACACTGGGTGACAGATACAGGGCCCCTCACGTGTATCCCCCACACAGCAAGCATGGGAATGAAATGCACCCTTCAAGCTGGATGTGTGGTGGTGCCCTTCTGTAATCCATGACTCAGGAGGCCGAGGCAGGAGGATTACGTGAGCCCAGGAGTCGGAGGCTTCAATGAGCTGATAGTGCCACTGCACTCCAGCCTGGGAGACAGAGGGAAACCCGGTCTCTAAAAAGAAAAAACGCGCCTTTCACAAGCACACTGCCCCTCCCCAAACCTGCTCCCCTAACAGGCGCCTCCCCATCTACCTCCAGGGGAAATGGGGGGTGGGTGGGGAGACCTAGCCTGGCCACCGAGGGTCCAAACAACAAACAGACAGGACAGAGCTGGGCTGAGTGTGGCCCTGGCTATTTTATTCCATGTGCTGGCCCTAGGGACCCAGCTGGGCCAGGTCGACGCCCCTGGGGAGACAGTGGGGCTCGGCCAGCCTCAGCGGCTTCTTTGGGGTGCAGGAGGGCTTTGGGGTTAAGGCTGGGGAGGGACAGGAAGTAAAGTGCTTGCAGGGGCTCTCGGGGCTTGGTCCCAGCCACCCTCCCTGCTCCGGGGTGGGCCAGAGGCCGGACTCCCCTGGGCTGTGCAAACAGGACTCTCTGGGGCCCACCCAGGCCTGGGTGAGGGGAATACACTGGCTGGCAGGGATCGTTCCCCACACCCACAGCCACAGAGGCTCTGGCTGGGCTGGAGGCCCGGACGAGGGGCGAGTCCAGAACCGATTGTCCGCTGATTGTCTGCTTGTCTGGTCCGTGGCTGTGTCGGCTCTTCCTGGTGTCGGGGCCTGCTGCCCACTTTCTGGGGGCTGCCCGCCCCACGGGCCCCTCACCTGCGGAGCCGCTGCAGCTGGGAGAGAGGCCCCTGGGGTCACCGGGGTGGGCTACGACCACAGTGATCCCCCAACCACCCCGTCTCCTGAGCTGCTCACCTCACTCTCTACCAGATTTCGCCTGTAGAGTGCCTCCTTTGCAGCCTCCTGTGGGGGATGGGCATTCAGCAGGTAGTCCCTGCAGGTCCCGCCCTGCCCGCTGCCCAGCGCCCACCCAGCCCGCGCCCAGCTCACCCTGCTGCCATCATTGCCCAGGCGCCGAGCAGCCTCCGTGTAGAACTGCAGCTGCCGCTCCAGCTGGGCTGCGTATTCTGAGAATGGATGGTGGGGGGATGGGGCTTAGGGTGGGGTCTCGCTGTCCCCAACCCTCCCGTACTGTGCCCATCCCCAAGCCCGTCCCCCACCAGATGCCCATCTCCGAACCCCTACCCCGTCGGATGCCCACGCCCCCCTGCTCCAGCTGTGCTCTCTGCCACTGGCTGCGTTGCATGATGTCCTGGTACTGCTGGGCCACTTCTGGGGGCACCGGCCGCCGCGCCTGCCTGAGGGCCAGGATCTGGAGGATACAGAGGGGCCTGTGAAGATCCCGCCAGGACTCCCCAGTCCTGCCCCATGGAGCCCGGCAGGATGGATACCCACCTTCCGCTCCAGGCGCTCTTGGTCAAAGGCCAGCACACTGAGGCTATGCAGGGGCCGGGCTGATCTAAGGGGTAGAGGAAGGATAAGGGACTGCAGATTCCCCCAACCCAACCCTGTTAATTCGAAAGACACATTGGGCCAGGTACGGTGGCTCACGCCTGTAATCCCAGCACTTTGGGAGGCAGAGGCGAGCGGATCACGAGATCAGGAGTTTGAGACCAGCCTGGCCAATATGGTGAAACTCAGTCTCTACTAAAAATAGAAAAAAAACTAGCCGGGCATGGTGGCATGTGCCTGTAGTCCCAGCTACTTGGGAGGCTGAGGCAGAAGAATTGCTTGAACCTGGGAGGTGGAGGTTGCAGTGAGCTGAGGTCACACCACTGCACTCCAGCCTGGGCGACAGAGCAAGGTCCTGTCTCAAAAAAAAAAAGAAAAAAAGGCCGGGCGCAGTGGCTCATGCCTGTAATCCCAGTACTTTGGGAGGCCAAGGCAGGCAGATCACCTGAGATCGGGAGTTCGAGACCAGCCTGACCAACATGGAGAAACTCCCGTCTCTACTAAAAATAGAAAAATTAGCTGGGTGTGGTGGCGCATGCCTGTAATCCCATCTACTCAGGAGGCTGAGGCTGGAGAATCGCTTGAACCCAGGAGGCGGAAATTGCTGTGAGTCAAGATCGCGCCATTGCACTCCAGCCTGGGCGCCAGAGCTAGACTCCGTCTCAAAAAAAAAAAAGATACTTTGGGCACTGGGGGTATGGTGGGAGATAGGTGATACCCACCCGGTGTTGCTGATCCCAAAACCTAGTGGGGACGATGGCTGCATACCCAGGAAACTATGATGCCTAGTGGTCAGGGAGGGCTTCCTGGAGGAGGTAACAGCCAAGCTGGGATCCAAAGAAGGAATCAGAGGTGGGCAGAGGAACAAGGGTAGGGGTGTTCAGGGCATTGGAACCCACGGAAGCCCAGAGGCCAGTGAAAACTATTCATGGCCGTGAACCACAGGAGGGAGTGGGGAGAGAGAAGCCTGGATATATTGACAACGGTCAGATCACAAAAGGTTTTAAAGACCAAACAAAGGAGTTTAATCTGGATCTTCTGGGAAAAGGGGTGCCAGGAAAGGTTTTGCAGCAGGAGAGGGACATGGTCCAATTTGTGCCTGGTGGGAAACTGTCCAGGTGGGGCTGAGAAGAGAATTGGGTGTTTTCTCTAGCATGCCCTGGCCCAGATACCTACCTGTTACCTGACTCCCTTGCAGGGGCAGGCACAGGAGGCGCCTTCCCTTTGGGCCCAGCAACCTGCTTCAGAGGAGAGAACCAGTCCTGTGAGTCCTGGGCCCCTGAACCAAGCTTCCCTCCCTGGGATTGCTGATGGGTAGGGATGGGGGGTCTCACTGTGGGCACAGCTGCTGGCACAGGGTCAATGACCAGCCACCTCTCCGTCGTTGTCTCCAACTGCTGGGCTGTCAGTGGCTCCCGAATCCGAACCATCACCTCCAGTCGCCCCCCTGTGGGCCGGCGACCATCCAGGACCTAGATAGGGGTAAGGAGAAACTGTTGGTGGGAAGCAGGAAGTGACTAAAGGCCCAGGGCCAGGACCAGGGAGAACAAGAGTGGCTTCTAAAATATAAGCCCATGGTATGGCTGAAATACTAGTTGATCATAATGGAGTGGGGTGCTGCAAGTATTTAGGGCTGGGCAGTAGGGAGGTCTGGGGCTCTGAGGGGAGAGGTTGGGTCAACAGATAGGCTCATAGGGGGCTCAAGGCAGGAACTGTCTTAATAATGTTAATGAGTAGCATGGCCATACCGGAGCATGCAGATGAATGTCCACCTCTCACCTCAAGGATCTCCCGGACCTCACATGCTGTCTCCAGTGCATCCAGCTTCAGCTGGGCTGTCCCCAGCACCCGGTCAGTCTTGAACAGCCCCCTGTGTGTACGTGTGTATAGTGGGGACAGGATGGTTGGTTCAGAGGAGCTCCCCTCCCCTGGAGCCCACCCAGCGGCCATGGCTCCCTCTAGCTCACCCTTTGTGAACCACTTCGAACTTGATGCCCTTGGTCTGGATGGCCCTTCGGAAGCCACGGTGGCTGCGGTTGATGCAGAGTTTGAACTGCTCCTTGAACTCTGCAGGGGGAAGGAGGGAGAGGAAGTTGGGTGGGGTCAGGCCATGGTCTTACATCCCTTCTGCTGCAAGGGAGTAGGGGTGGGGTACTTCCAGCTGAGGCTCACCAGGAGAATCTGTGTTCTTGATCACACTGGTCTTGTCTTTCTGAGCTTCTTCCTGTGACCAGAGAGGAGGCAGGAAATCTCGGGGGCCTGGGACCTGGCTTTGGCCCACTGAGTCTGCAACCCTCCCCTCCTCAGCTCCCCACATACCACGTTGGGATAGGGGAAGTCAAACCGAACAAAGACATCCAGATCGCCAGGGGACAGTCCTGTGGGCAAACAAGGATCAGAGCTGGGCAGAGAGGGGGTCCCCATGACCCTGACCCCTGCCTACAGCCCCCTCACCTGCGGGTGTGGGCAAGTTGATGCCCTTCACGATGAAGAGGAGCATGTCGTTGCTGCTGAGGTCAGGGAAGATCCTTCCGGGTGGGCAGGTGGGCAGGCAGGTGGGCAGGGAAACAGAGGTACTTCAGTCCCACTGCCCACCTGCCTTTTCTTCCTCCAGTGGGGGCTGGGAACAAACCCGACCCTGGCCTTTGGGGGCATCTCAGCTCCTGGGCTAATTTTAGAATCAGACAGACTAGAGTTCTCTGTTTAGGTCGGCAATGGATCACTTTTGAGTCTTTTCTTCAGTCCGCGTATATTTATTTGGTACCTACTGTGTGCTAGGTACCCTAGCTGCTGGGTGACATTCCCTTCACTTAATAGTTCTTGAGTCCTACTAAGCATCAACCAGTGCCCTAGCTGCTAGGAGACCTTCCCTTCATTTCCCAATATTTCTTGAGCACCTACTATGTGCCAGCCGGTAGCCTAGCTGCTGGGGATCTAGAATTAAACAAGAAATACCCACACCCTGTGCTCAATCTAGCTGAGTGGACAGATGAGCACAAGTACATAAATAGAGAAACAATAGAAAACTCAGCAGAGAGGGGAGAGTGGAGTGTGCTCAGAAGAGACTGCTCGGATAGACAGGGAGGGCCTCTCAGAGGGAAGGTGACATCACAGATGACTCTAGATGTCAACAGGGAGCTGCCACATGGAGACCTGGGGAAGAGGGTGAAGGCAGAAGAAATAGCTGATGCAGAGGCTTGGGGTAGGAACATACTTGGTTTGTAGGAGGGACAAAAAGTCCCATGTGGCCAGAGCTGAGTGAAGCAGGGACAGGAGGCAGAGAGGAGGTGTCAGGGAGCCAGGCTGTATGGAGACTGGGGAGCCAGGGTAAGGGGTGTGGGTTATCCCAGGGGCAGCTGGGAACCACTGGAGGGCCAGTGGCTGCACCTAACCTCGTTTAGAAAGTGGAGAGAACGGGCCGGGTGCAGTGGCTAACACCTGTAATCCCAGCACTTTGGGAGGCCAAGATGGGTGGATCACAAGGTCAGGATATCAAGACCATCCTGGCTAGCATGGTGAAACCCTGTCTCTACTAAAAATAATAAAAAAATTAGTCGGGCATGGTGGTGGGTGCCTGTAGTCCCAGCTACTTGGGAGGCTGAGGCAGGAGAACAGCGTGAACCTAGGAGGCGGAGCTTGCAGTGAGCAGAGATCGCGCCACTGCACTCCAGCCTGGGCAACAGAGCGAGACTCTGTCTCAAAATTAAAAAAGAAAAAAAAAGTGGAGAAAATGATCCCCACTCCTCCTGGCGTGGGAAGACTTAATAGTACCAAGACCAACACCCACCAAAGCCATAACTCATCTCTGGTCTCCCATGGACTCACCCAGGCCCTGGGACAAGATACACCTTTGTACTCTCTAGATCTTTCCCAAATGTGTCACTGTGACTGCACCCTCGCCATCCTTCACTTGTATCTTATGCCTGCCCCAGGGCCTTTGCACGCTCTGTGCTCTTCCACCCATTCAAACTTTCCTCCAGATGTAAATCTTATGCCAGCTTCTGGGGAGCACACCCCCACCCCCCTGCCACCAAAGGGCCATTGGGGCCACGTGATGGGGCATAGATCAGGAGTCTTACTTGATGACGCTGAAGGTCCTTTGCTCAAAGCGGGCAGTGGGTGTGGGAAGACCCCGAGCGAAGGCTTGCTTCAGAATGTCCATGCTCCGCTTACAGTCTTCCGCCAACTTTTCAAACCTGCCGGTGGGAGGGCCCTGCTCATGTCCCCAGCCCCGGGGATGGGTGGCTGGGGGTGCAAGTGTCTGGCACAGGTCGGGGCACTTACTTGGTGGTTTCAGTGATGTTGCCCAGCTGGGTGAATTGGTTTGAGTGGTTCAGGCACATCTGGGGAAACAGAAGGCAGTGAGTCGAGGGAAGGGAAGAGAGGGGAAGCAGGGTCACGCCCCTGGGGGACAGGCTGGGGGCCTCCCCCTCACCTCATGCTGCTGCCGTATGAGCTTGGTGAGTTCACCATAGCGCCGGGCGGCCTCCTGAGACAGACCTGGGCCGGGCCGCTGGACCAGGGCAAAGTCATCCTTGTTGACAGGGGCGGGCGGCACCTGGGGAGGACGAGGCTGGTGGTGGGGGTAAGGGGGACAAGCAGGCCCACCTAGGGCTCTGCAGAAATGTTGTTCTTCCTTGACGGGGAGCATTCCCCGACCACGGCTCTGTCACCCTTCTCTGGTCTTTCTTTTTTTTCTTTTTTTTTGAGGATAGGAGTCTCGTTCTGTTGCCAGGCTGGGAGTACAGTGGGCGCGATCTCGGCTCCTGCGAAAACCTCTGCCTCCCAGGTTCAAGTGTATTCTCCTGCCTCAGCCTCCCGAGTAGCTTGGAATTACAGGGCGCGTGCCACCACACCTGGCTAATTTGTATTTTTAGTAGGAGCAGGGTTCTTACCATGTTGGCCAGGACTCGTCTTGTAACTCCTGACCTCAGTGATCCGCCGGCCTCAGCCTCTCTAATTGCTGGGATTACAGGGTGTGAAAAGACCACAACTCAGCCTCAGCCTCTGTTCTTTTTTTTTTTTTTTTTTTGAGACGGAGTTCCGCTCTGTCGCCCAAGGCTGGAGTTGGCAGTGGCTGGATCCAGCTCACTGCAAGCTCGCGCCTCCTGGTTTACACCATCTTCTGCTCAACTCCCAAGTAGCTGCGGACTACAGGCGCCCGCCACTCGCCCCGGTTATTTTTTGTATTTTTTAGTAGAGACAGGGTTTCACCGTGTTAGCCAGGATGGTCTCGATCTCCTGACCTCGTGATCCGCCCGTCTTAGCCTCCCAAAATGCTGGGATTACGGGCTTGAGCCACCGCGCCCAGCCTGTTCTTTCTTCTTGATCCTTCCATTGTCCCACTTAACAAAGGCATCCTTCAGTCACCCCAGAAATCATGTATGGTGCCAGGGGCAGTGGCTCATGTCTTGAGCTCAAGAGCTGGAGAAATCATGTATGGAGCCTCTGCTGTGCACTAGGCTCTGCTCTGGGGCTGGGAACACAGGGATGAAGAAGAGAGAACAAAATCCCTGCCCTTGTGGGGCTGACATTCTCTTGTAGGAGATGGGCAATAATCAGAAGAAATAAGTAAATCATATAAGAGAGTAGAAGGTGATACATGCCACAGGGAAAGGCAGAGTTGGGAGGAGGAGCAGAGGGATCTGGGTGACAGGGAGGGATTTTAGACAGGTCAGGGTAGGCCTCCTGGAGATGCTGATGTCTGAGCAGAGACCTAATGAGGGGAGAAAGTGAACCATACAGGTGTCTGTGGGAAAAGCATTCAGGCAGAGGGAACTGCATGTGCAAAGGCCCTGAGGTTGCAGAGTGCCTGGTGTTTGAGGCTACCAGACAGCAAAGGGGAGAGTGAGCAAGGGGGCAGGTGAAAGAGACCAGGCAGGCCGGGCACAGTGGCTCATGCCTGTAATCCCAGCACTTTGGGAAGTCGAGGCAGGTGGATTGCCTGAGGTCAGGAGTTCAGCCTGGCCAACATAATGAAACCCCATCTCTAGTAAAAATACAAAAATTAGCCAGGCGTGGTGGTGCATGCCTGTAGTCCCAGCTACTCGGGAGGCTAAGGCAGGAGAATCGCTTGAGCCTGGGAGGTAGAGTTTGCAGTGAGCTGAGATCGCGCTACTGCATTCCAGCCTGGGCAACAGAGCAAGACTCTGTCTCAAAACAAAACAAAAAAGAGACCAGGCAAGGGAGGTGATGGGGCAGATGGTGCAGGCTTCATGGGCTGTGATAAGGTGCTGTATATTTGTGTGTTTCTTGTGGTCTCTCAATTAGAACATCCACTCCATAACAGTAAGTCTCACTGTGTTTCCCAAGCTGGTTTTGAACTCCTGGCCTCAAGCGATCCTCCCACCTCAGCCTCCCAGGTAGCTGGAATTACAGGTGTGACCCACCATGTCCAGAGAGACTGTGAATTTTTGCCTTTTTTGCTCAAGGCCATGTCTCCAGTGCCCAGCAAAGACTACATGTCCCCGGCTCCTCTGAGGCTAAATGTAGCCATGTGACTGTTTGGGCCAATGGGAGGCAAGCAAAAGTGATGTCACTTCCTTGAACTGGGTGGCCTTTGCTGGGTGCCCAGTTCAAGCTCCTCAAATGTTTCCTATTATGAGTACTATTCTATCACATGAAGAAACCTGGCTGTCTTTCTTTGAGGCGGGGGTCGCCATCCCCACTTCCCCAAGGAGAAAAATGATGCTCAGAGAGAAAGGAATGGTCCTGTCCAAAGTGGCAGAATCTAAGCCTCTCCCCAAATCTGATCCCCTTCCCTTCCCTAGTAATGGAGCTCAGGCTGGTCACACAGTGCACCAAGAGACTACATGTTCCAGGTTCCTCTGTGGCTAAATGTGGCCATGTGACTTAGTTCTGGCCAATGGGAGGCAAGCAATGGTGATGTCACTTCCTTTAAAAGGGACTACTAGCTCTGCTTCTTTCTCTAATCCTTCTGACACGATCCACTTGGATCATGTGGACAAGGACAACCCCTCAGGTGCAGCAAAGCAGTAAGGTGGAAGGAACTCAGGACCTGAAGGACCTCCCATTTGCATAGCCCAGACTGCCCTGAGTGGTACATGCAAGAAACATAATAAATGTCTGTCTCATTTCAGCCACTGTCTTGGGAGGATCTATTTGTTACAGCAGCTGGACCCTGACTAATACACTTCAGTTCACATGGCTGCTAAGGGGCAGGAGCCTGACCAGTGGGTGCCTGGGCAGTTCCCACAAGCCCAGAGGGTTCACCTTGGTGATATCCACAGGCAGCCCATTGCGCGAGGCCTCCAGCATAGGCTCCAGTCCCTTGGCCTGGCGCAGATGCATCTTGGCGCCCTCCACGTCGTTTTTCTGCTTGGCTCGAAGTGCAGCCTGCAGGAGCTGCTTCTTGCGGCCCTCTAGGAAGGCCAGCTGCTGCTGGGCTGTGGGCATAGGAGCTGCTATGGGTGCTGCCCAGGCCACAGCCAGACTACAGGGAGCTGGGGCAGGGAGGGGGGGGCACCTACCTCTGGTGGACGGGGCTTTGGGGGCTGCTTTGGCTGCTGGGGTTGATCCTGACTGGGAAGCCCTTGAGGGTGGGGCTTTGGGCTGGGCTGTGGGGGCCACAGGGCTGTTCTGCTGTGGAGGAAGAGAGAGGATGTTAAGAGATTTCGTAGCACCTGTTATGAGTCCAGTCCCCAAGGATCAGGGTCTGACACTGACAACAGTGGTCATTTAGTGGGCTCCCAGGACTTTGCTACTCCCCTGCCTCACCCGAAGCCCCTGGCTCCAAACACCTTATTTTTTATTTATTTATTTATTTCTTTTTGAGACAGAGTCTTGCTGTATCGCCCAGGCTGGAGTGCAGTAGCACGATCTTGGCTCACTGCAACCTCTGCCTCCTGGTTCAAGCAATTCTCACCAAACATTTTTTTTTTTTTTTAGTTTGTCTTGGAGATGAAGTCTTGCTCTGTTGCCCAGGCTAGAGTACAATGGCACGACTATGGCTTACTGCAGCCTTGAGCTCCTTAGTTCGGGCGATCCTCCCACCTCAGTCTCCCAAGTAGCAGGGACTACAGGTGAGTCCCACCATGCCTGGCTAATTTTTAAAACATTTTTTGCAGAGATGGGGGTCTCACTATGTGGCCCAGGCTGGTCGCAAACTCCTGGCCTCAAGCGATCCTCCCACCTTGGATTCCCAAAGTGCTGGGACTACAGGTGTGAGCCACTGCGCCCGGCCCCAACCCTCAAACCTTCTTAGGCACCTCATCCTCTTCATCCTCTGGGCCTTCATCCTGGTTGGCCAGCTTCATGGCAGTCTCCAGGACACCCACCAGACTCTGCTGGGTGGGTTTGGTGGTCTCCAGGCCCTGGATGGGGGGGAAGCCTGGGCGGCCAGTCGAGGCCTAGTTACTGTGTGTCAGGATGGAGACCAACTCACACCATTATGGTGGAGATGCAGATTCCTCCCCCACCTACAGAGTCTTGGGCCTTTACTTTTATATTTTTTTGTGTGTTCGTTTTTTATTATTTTTTTTGAGACAGGATCTCGCTCTGTTGCCGGGGCTGGAGTACAGTGGCATGATCTGGAGTGGGACTGTAGGCGTGCGCCACCATACCAGGCTAATTTTTAAATTTCTTGTAGCCACGGGGTCTTGCCATGTTGCCCGAGCTTGTCTTGAACTCCTGACCTCAAGTGATGCTCCCACCTCAGCCTCCCAAAGCGCTGGGATTACAGGCGTGAACAGCCACGTCCAGCCAGTTTGCCAGTTTCTAGGGTGCAGACCCTTACATCATGTCCAATGTCAAGCTCCCACTGATTAACAAGTTTACAGAACCCCTGAATATGTTGTATTCAGATCCCTGAGCCTGTGCCATGGGGAGTAATAGCATCTGCCAACGCTCACAGGCTGGAGGAACAGGAGCTTGGGGCACAGTCTGCCAGCGGCAGGGCCTACTGGGGGCGGGGCCTACTGGGGGCGGGGCCTACTGGGGCGGAGCCTACCGGAGCGAGGCCTACCTGGAGGCACGGGCAATTCAGCGACATCCACGGCTCGGCCAGCCTTGTGAGCTCGTATGGCATCTTGGTATTGCTGCAAGGGCCACAGGTGTTAGGGCTGCTTGTGGGAGGGCTCTGGGGCTGCCTGCTCGCCCCACCTCCCCCGGAACCCCCGCGGCACCTTGACAATGCGCTCGTGCATTCGAGCTTTCCGCTGGTCCCCCTTGCTCTTGGCCTGGGCTGCGGCCACCTGGTACCGCTCCATCCGCTGCTCCAGCGCCTCCAGCAGGGTCCTCGGGGGTGGGGGGACCTCTGGGCCAGACAGGGGGACAAGGTTAAGAGTCAAGGGACGGGTAGACAGTCTGGCTTCAAGCCTGCCCCCGACCCCAAAGGGTCCCACAACCTACCTGGTGTGGAGGGCGCCGTAGCGGGAGTCGGCGGCTGCGACGGTGGTGACGGTGGGTCTGGGGGCAGCTGGTCTGGGGACAGAGAGGTCCAGGCCAATGAGGGGCTTGCATGCTGCATCCCCAACAAGCTGGTCTGGCCTGAGGGTGGTCTCTGGGCCTGACCAACAGGGGTGGCGGCATCAAGGAGAACTTAGTGTATGCCTGAAACCATCCCAGAGAGTGGGCATGGCAGAGTCCTCACCAGGTGGCGGCGGCAGGCAGGAGAGGTCCACGGGCTCCCCCCGGCTCAGGGCCTCCAAGACAGCATCAAAGCTCTGGGAGAAGGAAGAGATCAGAAGAGGAGGTGCAGTTGGGGGCTGGGACCTCTTGGGGAGCCTCCAGGCCCTGGCATGGCACCGAGGACTTCTAGCTTCCTCCCTTCCGTTCGTGCCATCTTGCTTAATCCTCTTCCAACACACGTGCCCATTTCACAGAGGGGGTAAACTGAGGCTCCAAGACTTACAGCAAACTATTGCTAGGGAGTGACCAGGCTAGGATGCAAATTTGGGTCAGCCTGACCCAGCAGCCCGGGTGCTTTGCCACTGGGGCATGTGGGAAGCATCCTGCCCCATCCCTCCAGTCCTGTCCGTCGGGCTGGACGCACCTTAGCCACGCGGAAGTGTCTGGCGGCAGCAGCGGTATCTCCCTGCTGCTTGGCGTGGAGGGCAGCCAGCTTGTACTCACGCTGGCGGCTCTGCAACTGGGCCAGAGGGCCAGGGCTGCAGGGACCTGGAAGGGAGAACAGCATACAGGAAGCCTCCAGGGCCTGGGCCAAGTTCACCGTGTAAACCATTTGTTATTTATTTATTTAATGCTTTTTTTTTCTTTTTCAGACAGAGCCTTGCTCTGTTGCCCATGCTGGGGTACAGTGGTGCAATCTCAGCTCACTGCAACTTCCGCCTCCTGGGTTCAAGCCATTCTCTTGCCTCAGCCCCCTGAGTAGCTGGGATTACAGGCGCGTGCCTGGCTAATTTTTTTGTTTTTGGTAGAGACAGGGTTTCGCCATGTTGGCCAGGCTGGTCTCAAAGTCCTGACCTCAGGTGATTTGCCTGCCTCGGCCTCCCAAAGTGCTGGGATTACAGGTGTGAACCACCGCGCCCAGCCTTAACGTTTTTTTTGAGACTGAGTCTTGCTCTGTTGCCCAGACTGGAGTGCAGTGGCACAATCTCGGCTCACTGCAACCTCCGCCTCCCGATTTCTGGCTAATTTTTGTATTCTTAGTAGAGATGGGGTTTCACCATGTTGGCCAGGCTGGTCTCAAACTCCTGACCTCAAGTGATCCACCTGCCTCAGCCTTCCAAAGTGGTAGAATTACAGGCATGAGTTACCACGCCTGGTCATAGTTAATGTATTTTTTTTTAAAGAGAGAGAGTCTTGCTCTGCTGCTCAGGAGTATAGTGGCGTAATCATACCTCACTGTAGCTTCAAACACCTGGGCCTAGCCGATCCTCCCACCTCAGCTTCCTGAGTAGGTGGGGCTACAGAGCATGCACCAGCACGCCCGGCTAATTTTTAAATTTTTTTTTTTAGAGATGGGGTCTCACTATGTTGTCCACGCTAGTCTTGAACTCCTGGGCTCAAGCGATCCTCCCACCTCAGCTTCCCGAAGTGCTGAGATTACAAGCATGCGCCACCATGCCCGACTCACTTTTTAAATAGATCCTGGGACTCACTTTTGGCAGTTGGGAATTTTGAGTCTTCTCTTATTTCCATCCACATCCCCCACAGAAATTTATGCTAACATGATATAGCTGTGTGTTTGAAAGCCTTTTTTGCCTACCCTATTGTATATTTATACAACCAAAATACATTTATGAAATGTGTTTGCAAAGTTGGGAAACTCAGTATTCAGTGCTTTTTAAACTGTGTTAGTTACAGTTTCAAATAATATGCTCGATATGTTTTCTGGCGAAGTACCTCAATATTTAAAGCTCTAAGTGCAATTCTTAGTATAAAATAACACGGTAGAATAAAGACACCACTCAGTGCCTACAAAATCTTGAAACACCCAGAAAATTGCACGCAGGATCTTTTTTTGAGACTAACAACTGGACCCATTGCTTTAAACTTAGGCTTACTTCCCTGAAAATAGGTTTGGAGGTAGAATGACACACCTTTGACATTGTATTGGTTTTATTTCCTGGGATCATAAATCTTTCAGTGTTAAAAACAATGTGTTTCTGGGTCAAATTATTGTTATAATTATTACTAGCAGGTAACTGAGCAAAATCTAAATACATCAAGCTTATTTTATTTTATTTTTTGGAGACAGGGTCTCATTCTGTCACCCAGGCTGGAGTGCAATGGTGCAATCACAGCTCACTGCAGCCTCAACCTTCCAGGCTCAAGTGATTCTCCCACCTCAGCCTCCCAAGTAGCTGGGACTACAGGCATGCACCACCATGCCTGGCTAATTCTTAATTTTTTGTAGAGACACAGTTTCCTGTGTTGCCCAGATGGATCTTGAACTCCTGGGTTCAAGCGATCCTCCCACCTTGGCCTCCCAGAGTGCTGGAATTATAGGCGTGAGCCACCACACCCGGCTGAGCTTTTTGGATTTATTTGTTCTGAGATAGAGTCTCGCTCTGTCGCCCAGGCTGGAGTGCAGTGGTGCAATCTCGACTCGTTGCAAGCTCCGCCTTCCAGGTTCACGTGATTTTCCTGCCTCAGCCTCCCGAGTAACAGGCGCCCACCACCACGCCCGACTAATTTTTTTGTATTTTTAGTAGAGACAGGGTTTCACCGTGTTAGCCAGGATGGTCTCAATCTCCTGACCTCATGATCTGCCCGCCTCAGCCTCCCAAAGTGCTGGGATTACAGGTGTGAGCCACCGCGCCCAACCTGTTTGTTTGTTTGTTGAAACAGTCTTGCTCTGTTGCCCAGGCTGGAGTGCTGTGGTGCGAACGTGGCTCACTGCAACCCCTGCCTTCTGGGTTCAAGTGATTCTCTTGCTTCACCCACCCGAGTGGCTGGGACTACCAGCACGCGCTACCACGCCCAGCTAATTTTTGTATTTTTAGTAGAGATGAGGTCTCACCATGTTGGCCACGGCTGGTCTTGAACTCCTGGCCTCAAGTGATCCGCCTGCCTTGGTGTCCCAAAGTGCTGGGATTACAGGCTTGAGCCACCACACCCAGCCCCTGCTGAGCTATTTGATAAGTTTTTGTACACCAAGGGTAAAATTCTACCAGAAATGTACCTCTCGTTGACATAATTGGAGCTGGGTCCAATCCCTAACAATCAGCTCATTTCTCCCTTTCAATCCTTTTCTTTTTTTTCTTTTCCTTTTTTTAGAGATAAGATCTTGCTCTGTTGCCCAGACTTGGAGTGGCACGATCATGGCTCACTGCAGCCTTGAACTCCTGGACTCAAGCGAACCTCCCACCTCAGCCTCTCGAGTAGCTGTGACTGTAGGCATGTACTACCATGCCCAGCTAATTTCTTTCTTTTTTTTTTTTTGAGACAGAGTCTTGCTCTGTTGCCCAGGCTAGAGTGCAGTGGCCGGATCTCAGCTCACTGCAAGCTCCACCTCCCAGGTTCACGCCATTCTCCTGCCTCAGCCTCCCGAGTGACTGGGACTACAGGTGCCTGCCACCACGCCCGGCTACTTTTTTGTATTTTCAGTAGAGACGGGATTTCACCGCGTTAGCCAGGATGGTCTCGATCTCCTGACCTCGTGATCCGCCTACCTCGGCCTCCCAAAGTGCTGGGATTACAGGCGTGAGCCACCGCGCCCGGCCTAATTTCTTTATTTTTATGTAGCGATAGGTTCTTGCTATGTTGCCCAGACTGGTCTTGAACTCCTGGTCTCCCAAAGTGCTGGGATTACAGGCATAAACCATCACATCTGTACTTTTTTTTCTTTTTTAAAGTGTTGAGGCCAGGGGTGGTGGCTCACACCTGTAATCTCAGCACTTTGAGAGGTGGAGCAGGCAGATCACCTGAGGTCAGGATTACGAGACCAGCCTGAACAGCAACGTGGTGAAACCCCATCTCTACTAAAAATACAAAAATTAGCTGGGCATGGTGGCGGGCGCTTGTAATCCCAGCTACTCAGGAGGCTGAGGCAGGTGAATTGAACCTGGGAGGCGGAGGCTGCAGTGAGCTGAGATCGCACCATTGCCCTCCAGCCTGGAAATAAGAGTGAGACTCTGTCTCAAAAAAATTAAAGTATTGAGAAACCTACTTCACATCAACAAATAGATTGGAAGACACAGAATTTTGTTACTGTGATGTCTTTGTATTCTTTGAACTCCTGACAAGTTATGCCAGACTCCCATTGTGAAAAATTTTGGGTCGTTTCAGTTGACAGTTTCAGGTGACAATTCCAGTAATCCTTGAACTTTGCCAGAAACAATGGCTTGGAAACCAGCTCGGTTGCAGAAGGATTTAGTGATCCGGTGTTTGCTTTCTCAAACCCATGCCAGTATTTTGAGTTGTCTCTTTGCGTCCTGCCAGGGAAGTGTTTGGACCTGGGGCAAAGCCCCGTGTTTGTATCACGAAGAGAGGGAGGGAGGCCTTCCTTTCCTAGGGGGAGGTTAGGAAGAAAAACCTCTTAGAAGATATGTTCTAGCTTGGGCAACATGGCACCTCTACAAAAAGTACAAAAATTAGCTGGGCATGGTGGCATATGCCTGTAATCCCAGCACTTTGGGAGGCCAAGGCGGGCGGATCATGAGGTCAGGAGATCGAGACCACCCTGGCTGGCTAACATGGTGAAACCCCGTCTCTACTAAAAATACAAAAAATTAGCTGGGTGTGGTGGTATGTGCCTGTAATCCCAGCTACTCAGGAGGCTGAGGCAGGAGAATTGCTTGAACCCGGGAGGCGGCGGTTGTAGTGACCCGAGATCACACCACTGCACTTCAGCCTGGGTGACAGAGCGAGACTCCGTCTTAAAAAAAAAAAAAAAAAAGATTGCCAAGTGTGTGTGTGGTGCATCCCTGTAGTCCCAGCTACTGGCGAAGCTGAGGGAAGATCCCTTGAGCCCAGGAGGTCGAGGCAATAGTGAGCTGTGCTCACGTCACTGCACTCCTGGGTGACAGAGTAAGACCTTGCCTCAAAGAATTAAAAAAGGCCAGGCACACTGGCTCCATGCCTATAATCCCAGCAAACTGGGAGGCCGAAGTGGGTGGATCCCCTGAGGTCAAGAGTTTGAGACCAGCCTGGCCAACATGGTGAAACCCATCTCTACTAAAAATACAAAATTACGCCAGCGTGTGCTGGCGTATGCCTGTAATCCCAGCTACTTGGGAGGCTGAGACAGGAGAATCGCTTGAACTTGGGAGGTGGAGGTTGTAGTGAGCTGGATCGTGCCATTGTGCTCCAGCCTGGGCAACAAGAGCAAAACTCCTCTCAAACAAACAAGAACTAAAAGAATTTTTAATGGTAAATGTTACTACATACATATATATATATATATTTTTTTTTTTTTTTTTTTTCTTTTGAGACGAGTCTCGCTCTGTTGCCCAGTTAGAGCTGCAGTGGCGTGATCTCGGCTCACTGCCAGTCCACCCCCAGGTTCACGCCATTCTCTCTGCTCAGCTCCCCGAGTGACTGGGCAATAAGGTGCTGCACCAGTCCGGCTAATTTTTTGTATTTTTAGTAGAGGATGGGAAGTTTTACATGTTAGCCCAGGATGGTCTCAATCTCCTGACCTCGTGATCCGCCCGCCTCGGCCTCCCAAAGTGCTGGGATTACAGGCGTGAGCCACCGCGCCGGGCCTATGTTTTATCATAATATTATAATAACAACAAAAAAACTCTCTGGGTATCCATGTCCTGCTTGGGAGGTATTCATGAACTCCAGGGGCTTGAAGACCCCAGGATTCAGGGTGTTGAACATATGTCACAATCAGTGCACAGCCTGCACCCCCCTAGAGCGGCATCCTGCCAGATGGCCCACTCGGCTCCCACATCAGCCCGGCCCTGCCCATCACCTACCTGGGGGCATCTGGGGCTTAGCCAAGCCTGGAGATGAGGCTGGGGCAGTGGGAGAAGGTCCCTCCAGGGTGACCCTGGGCTCCGGGGCTGACGCGATTCCAGGGGCCGGCTGGGTGGGTGCAGGGCTGCAGCTAGGCGTGGACGCCGGGCCTTTTCCTATGGCCACTGGCGGCGGGATGTCTGCTTCGTCAATGGCATTGCCCTTCCGGACAGAGGCCAGCAGGTTTTCCAGTGTCTGCGATAAGGCGTGAGTATTGGTTTGGGAGAAGCCAAGAGCTTGGTGCGGGACATCGGGGTGGGGGGGTCCCTGTACCCTGCCCTCTGCCCACTTACTTTAAGCCCCCGGTCATAGCGCCGCATCTTGGCGCTGTCTCCAGCTTGCCTGGCGCTTTCAATTGCTGTCTGATAGAGCGCCAGCCTCTCCTGCAAGGTGGCCTCCAGCCCCGGATGGGGGGCCTCAGGCTTTGGCTGTGGGAGGGCAGGGGCACAGTGTGGGTGCTGACCCCACCTGGGATGCCCCTGTCAGCCCCTTCTGCAGTAACAGTCAGCCACATGTCATTCCTGGACCAGCCTCCCCTGCTCCAGTGAGGCAAAAATTATGGTCCCCATCTCCCAGTGGAGGAAATGGGGTTTCAGAAGCATCATGTGACCCGCCTGATGTCAGTCACGTGGCTGTGAAGGACAAGGGTGGGCCGGGCGCGGTGGCTCACACCTGTAATCCCAGCACTTTGGGAGGCCAAAGCAGGAGGATCACTTGAGGTCGGGACCAGCCTGGCCAACATGGAGAAACCCCATCTCTACCAAAAAATACAAAAATTAGCCAGGTGTGGTGGCGCACACCTGTAATCCCAGCTCCTGGGGAGGCAGAGGTGGGAGGATTGCTTGAACCCGGGAGGCAGAGGTTGTAGTGAGCTAAGATGGCACCACTGCACTCCAGCCTGGGTGACACAGCAAGACTCCATCTCATAAAAAAAGGGTAGGCCTTGAACCCCGGACTGTCTGTTGGCTTGTGGTTCAAGGGAGTGGGGTCATCCGAACTGTACCTGGGCCACAGGAGGTGGCGTCTCTGAAGCCTTCTGCTCCTCTCCAAGGACCTCATTTAGCTCTGCCTGCAGGGACACATGGCCGGGAGAAGGACGTGAGGGCATGCTGCATGGGGGCAATGGGATAAGAGCTCCCACCCTGCCCTTAGTGCTCACCAGCAGGTCATCATCGGCCTCCAAGTCATCCTCATCCGTGCCCTCCTCCTCATCCTCATCTGGGTCCTTCATGCACAGGCTGGCCATCTTCTCAATGGCCTCCATCGGCAGGGGACCTGGCGGTAGGGGGATGCCCCAGGTGGGCCAGGGTCGTACACCAAGAGCCCCCGTTTCCCATCCTGGACACGTTAGGTGCCCACCTCTTGTTGACTTCCCCATTTCATCTCTTCCTTATTCAGCCTCAGGTCTGGGGCCTGGCTATCTGAATTCAAAACCCAGCTCTGCAGACTGAGCACAGTGGCTCATCACGCTTGTAATCCCAGTACTTTGGGAGGCCGAGGCAGAAGGAACACTTGAGGTCAGGAATTCGAGACCAGCCTGGCCAACATGGTGAAACTCTGTCTCTACTAAAAATACAAAAATTAGCTGAGCATGGTGGCGCGTAATCCCAGCTGCTGGAGAGGCTGAGGCAGGAGAATCACTTAAATCCAGGAGGCAGAGGTTGCAGCGAGCTGAGATTGCGCCGCTGCGCTGCAGCCTGGGCAACAGAGCGAGGGTTTGTCTCAAAACACACACACGGCTGGGCTCGGTGGCTCATGCCTGTAATCCCAGCACTTTGGGAGGCCGAGGCGGGCGGAATACGAGGTCAGGAGATTGAGACCATCCTGGCTAACACGGTGAAACCCTGTCTCTACCAAAAATGCAAAAAATTAGCCGGGCGAGGCGGCAGGCGCCTGTAGTCCCAGCTACTAGGGAGGCTGAGGCAGGAGAATGGCGTGAACCCGGGAGGCGGAGCTTGCAGTGAGCCGAGATCGCGCCACTGCACTCCAGCCTGGGTGACTAAGCGAGACTCTGTCTCAAAAAAAAAAAAAAAAACAAAAACACACACACACACACACACACACACACACGCGCACACACATAACAAAAAAACAACAAACCCAGCTCTGCAACTTTCTCTCTGTGAGACCTTGGGCAAGTGGGGTCACCTCTCTGGGCCTCAGTTTCTCCCTCTGTGACATGGGGATAACAACAGTTTCTCCTTCATAGGTAGGTTGGAGCACAGAAGGTCAATGAAGCTCTTAGAACAGTATATTGCCAGTATCTTGTTATTAGTTATGTTACATTCTGTAAAGTTGCCTTGAAGACTCAATTAATGACTATAGGACTATTGTTCCTAGGGGAAATTTAAGCTTAGGTTCCTGTGAGCCTCCAGTCATAACCTTTTTTGGAGACAGGATCTTGCTTTGTCACCCAGGCTGGAGTGCAGTGGCCCAATCAGAGCTCACTGCAGCCTCAAACTCTTGGTCTCAAGTGATCTTCCTGCCTCAACCTCCCAAGTAGTTGGGACTACAGGCATGCGCCACCACACCAAGCTCTGGTCACAAAATTTTAATCAACTGCTTGCTCCATGCGCGTTTCTGTTTGAAGATACCTTACCGAATAGATATTGTTCATTCATTAACTTTGAATTCACAGCCAACAGCACAGCAATTAATGCCTGAATGAAGCTTCTCTCTTTTTTTGGAGACAGGATCTTGCTCTGTTGCCGAGGCTGGAGTGCAGTGGCGCGATCTCCGCTCACTGCAACCGCTGCCTCCTGGATTCAAGCGATTCTCATGCCTTAGCCTCCCGAGTAGCTGGGATTACAGGCGTTCACCACCAGGCTCGGCGAATTTTTGTATTTTTAGTAAAGATGAGGTTTCACCAGGTTGGCCAGGCTGCTCTCAAACTCCTGGCTCCAAGTGATCTGCCCACCTTGGCCTCCCAGAGTGCTGGGATTATAGGCGTGAGCCACTGCGCCTGGCTGACATGAGCTTATTGTGTGTGAGGGGGCCCTGGATGAAATACGGACTCTAGAAGATTAACTCCTATAACATGGTTATTATTCCAATTTTACAGATGGTAAAACTGAAGCCAAAGCACATGATGTGACTCATCAAGTCACAGAGCCAGTAAGTGGCAGAGCTCAGATTCCAACTCTCAGTCTGGGTCCAGAGTTGGTCCTGACCCTCTTACCCAGACCATCGGCTCCCAGGTCTTCTCTGTCGTCTTTCCCCTACCCAGTTCTGCACCCAAACCACTTGCAGGATATCAGAAAATGTTCTGAGGGCGTGTTAACCATCTTACCTTTGCCTTTGAGCTTCTCCAGAGCTGGGGGCTGGCCCCCGACCAAAGCCAAGAACTCGGCCTCCAGTTCTTCATCGTTAACTCTGTCCTCAGGGATCATCAGGCCATCTGGGGAGAGGTCAACCAGCAGGCCCAGCTAGGGGGACAGCAAGGGTTCAGTCAGACCTTTGGTTCACCACATGGCTAGAGGCAGTCATGATGGCCGGAGAGTCCCTTTGGGAGGAAGGAAACAAGGTCTCCCAGGGAAAGCTGTTTACCTGGGGAGTGTCAGGAGACTGGAACAAGCCCAGAACAGGTGTTATAAGACAAGCCAGGCCCTCTGGCACAGTTCAACCTGGGGCAAAGGGCAAGAGACCCAGCTCTCTGATCTGAATCTACACTTATGATGTGCTGCTGGGCCAAGTTCAGTGGGAAAAGCAGACCCCTGGCTGGGTGCGGTGGCTCACGCCTGCCATCCCAGCACTGTGGGAGGCCAAGGCAAGGGGATGGCTTGTGTCTGGGAGTTCCAGACCAGCCTGGGCAATACAGTGAGACCCCCATCTTTACTAAAAAAAAAAACTTTCTTTTTTTTTTTTTTTTTTTCAGAGTCTCACCCTGTCACTCAGGCTGGAGTGCAGTCTCGGCTCACCGCAACCTCCGCCTCCCAGGTTCACGCCATTCTCCTGCCTCAGCTTCCTGAGTAGCTGGGACTACAGGCGCCCGCCACCACGCCTGGCTAATTTTTTTTTTTTTTTTGTATTTTTAGTAGAGACAGGGTTTCACCTTGTTAGCTAGGTTGGTCTCCATCTCCTGACCTCGTGATCCACCCGCCTCGGCCTCCCAAAGTGCTGGGATTACAGGAAAAAAAACTTTTTAAAATTATCTGGGAGTTGGCCGGGTGCGGTGGCTCATGCTTGTAATCCCAGCACTTTGGGAGGCCGAGGCGGGCGGATCACGAGGTCAGGAGATCAAGACTATCCTGGCTAACATGGTGAATAACACGGTGAAACCCATCTCTACTAAAAATACAAAAAATTAGCCGGGCATGGTGGCGGGCACCTGTAGTCCCAGCTACTCAGGAGGCTGAGGCAAGAAAACGGCGTGAACCTGGGAGGCAGAGCTTGCAGTGAACTGAGATCGCACCACTGTACTCTAGCCTGGGCAACAGAGCGAGATTCCATCTCAAAAAAAAAAAAAAAAAAAAAAATTAGCTGGGGGTTGTGGTGTGCCTGTGGTCCCAGCTACTCAGGAGTCTGAGGCAGGAGGATCACTTGAGCCTGGGGAGGTCAAGGCTGCCGTGAGCCATGACTGTGCTATGGCACTCCACCTGGGCAACAGAGTAAAGCTCTGTCTAAAGGAAAGGAAGAAAGAGAGATGGAGCGGGGGAGGGAGAGAGGGAGGGAGGGAGGAAGGAAGGAAGGAAAAAAGGAAGGAAGGAAGGGAAGAAAGGAGGGAGGGAGGAAAGCAGGCCCCACACTTTGCCCAAAGCAAAGCTACTCTGTACACTTGGGCTTTTCTTTCCAGCATCCTCAGCAGAGGGGCTGTATGGGAAGGTTGGGGCTTCAAGGCAATTAGAAGCCCTGATGGCTACATGCAGTGGCTCACACCTGTAATCCCAGCACTTTGGGAGGCCGAGGCAGGCAGATCACCTGAGGTCAGGAGTTCGAGACCAGCCTGGCCAACGT